TGTTCAAATCGATATCAATGGCAATTAAAACAGACGGGTTACTTCACATGTCGAAAATTCATATTGCAAATGAGTCCTTTCCAATTTTTGCAAATGAAACCTTCCTGAATGTTTTCAAATTGGAAATGGCTCCTATTATTTTGTGAATTTAATTAAAAAAAATTTCGGAGTTAACCCAAACTTAATTATCTTTTTGAAACGAGTTGGTTCTTGCTTTGACTCTTTGAGCTGGCAGCTATAGAATTAATTCAGAGTGCAGGTGGGTCAGGATAAAGATATGGAGATCAAAACCGAGGCCTTTTCCTTTTTTACTTACTTGCCAGAGCTCCCTTGCTAACAACTGAGTTACCAGATTTGGTTAAAAAAAAAAAAAAAAACTCAGCCAAAATGACACAAAATTCTAACACTGAACTTCATTAAAAAAAGAAAAAACTTTGACAAACTCCTTCACGATCAACCTCGCTGGAAGTATACCCGCGCCATTTTAGCACACTTATGATCTTCTTTCTCTCTAAATTTTCTCTCGAAACAAAGCTTTGGATTTTTCAATGCCTGGACTTTCAAGTTGTGTCTTGCGCCACCAACCAATGGCAGAGCCAGGGAGCGGCGATCACTCTGAGAGTGATAGGATTTGGGTCCAAGTTACAATTGAACAAATTTTATTTATTATATATAATTATATAAGTAATAATAATTGGGCTCTAGCTAAAGTTGTAAGTTAGTCTTAGCTATAATTGTAACAGTGGTAATAAACGAAGATTTGGAGCTGCTTTGTGTGTATGACTAAATAACAGATTGTTTTCTTCTTAATTTCTTGTTCTTCTTCTTTCATCTTTTTTCAATTAGGATTTTCTTCTAACTTTTTTTTTTTCTTATTCGCACTCACCACCCGGAACCCAACAAAGACAATGTTTCATTCCTTTCTCATGATTTTACGGATACATGTTATTAGAATATGCATTGGAATTATATATATTATCCGATAGGGGGAATTGATTTACATTTTTGAACCTTGTAAAAGAGAAATTCTTTGTCTTTGCTGACCATAATATTTATTGAGTGTTTCTAACATGAATGAAATTCATGCCCTTTTTTTATTTACAACTTTTTGTTGAGTGGTTGTATTTATTGATTTTATTTCTTTTAAAAAAAATGAAGTGTTGTTTTATGTTTACCTTTTAAAAAAAATTAGTGTAGAGCTTCAGTTGCTATTGGTAATGGATTTGAATTGTTTCTTGGTGTTATTTGTATTTGATTTCACAACAACAATGAGAATTTTGGCGACTAATCAGTGGAAACTGTTAAAGAGAAAAATCAATGAAGATATATGTATATATATATATGGAGTATGAAAATTTCTTGTACATATTCATTAACAACTTCTTTGTTTTTTTTAGTATTTTTAATTTTTTTGAAATATCTAAACACTGATTAAATGATTTATGTGGATTCAATGTCATTTAAATGATTTTAGACATTTGTCACTGATTGTTCTACGTTTCTTTTTAATTGTGAAGTTTGTTGTCCCTCTACGTTGATGTTCTTCACAGGTCACATCTAAGGGTATAAATTGGCTAAGTTAGGCCAGGCTTTGGCTTTGATAGCCTAAGCCTATGTAAAATATTTAGAGTTTATAATGTCCTATTAGCCTATTAAGGTCTGACCTAACCTATTATAAAAAATAAAAAAACCTAATACGACTTGTAAGGCCTAGCAAGTTGCAAATTAAGGTTTATAGGCCCAAACCAAATTAAAACAAAAAAAATAAAAAAATGTATTCACAAAGACCGCATGAAATCAATTTTCATTAACATCACATGAAATAATGTTTATAAAGATCACATGAAAATGTTCATAAAAATCACATAAAAATTTCATATATGTATATATACATATAATTTGCACTTTCTTTACTAATTTAATTTTATATTATATTTTAAATTTTAAATAAATATTTATTATTTGTTAAAATAACATCAATCCTATTACTTTGAAAATTTTAAGTAAATTTTTTTCCTAATAGATTTGTGTAATTATGAAAAATATTTTGATAATTTGATATGCCAAATTTTTTGACCCCGACTAAAATTAAATCCTAGCTCCGCCACTGTCACTCCCTCAAATTTATCAAGCCTTAGTTTTACAACTACATTCAGTTTGAAAGAAATGTGATGAAATACTTGTTTGTCCCATTTATTCTTATTATTTCTCATGTAGGAAAATATGTATGGATCTATTATTACGAATTTAGTATGAAGCTGTGACACAAGCAACTCGGTCACATGAATGAGAAATGGCTCCAAGTTTTGAACATGAAAGGTTTGTTGCCAAGGTTGAAAGGTGAACTGCTAGAAAGCTGCATGCATTGCCTTCCTAGAAAACAGCGTTGAGTTTCTTTCGTAAAGCAAGGTCATTCCATATGACGCAAGTACATTCTAAACCTCGTCCACACCGATGTCTTCTCCATCGATCTCAGTGAGATCGCTTGGATGGCTCAATATTTTGTTTCTTTAATTGATTATCATTCTCGCAAAATGTGTGTATTTATTGCGTTCCAAAGACCAGACATTCTAAGCCTTCAAAGAATTTTATACTATGGTGAAAAAGAGACTAACAAGAAGATAAAGATTGTCCGATCTGACAATAGTGGTGAGTATTGCGGCCCCTTGGATGCTTAAGCAGAGCAGCCGGGATAAGACTAGCGAAGGCGCCCCCTAAGACACCTTAGTTGAATGATATTAATGAAAGGATGAATCAGACTTTTGAAAAGAGGGTCCAAAGTATGTTGTCCCATGTCAGGTTACTAAAATCATTTTGGTAAGAGGTCGTCCAAACTGCTGTTGATTTGATTAACTTATCACCATCGAGACCTCTTGAAGAAGAAATTCGAAAAGAAGTATGAATTAACGAGACTAAAAGTGTCCTATAACCAGTTGAAAGTGTTTGGATGTCGAGCTTTCGTGCAAATCCCAAATGATGAAAGGGCAAAGCTTGATGCTAAAATGAAACAATGTATTTACCTTATTTTGTTGATATGCGAGGTCGTTTATAGACGTTGAGATCCCGTAAAAAGAAAACTATGAGAATTCGGGATGTAGTCTTCCGTGAAGACGAAACCAATAAAGACTCTAAGCCCAAAGTCTGGGTTGCTATTCGTAGTGAGAAACTCGTCCTTCCTGTCGGAGCTGATGTTATGGGAGAAACCAATCAAGAAATTGATAAAAATGGCTAGCAACAAGAAGAGCCACATTTTGAAGGTGCCGAAGAAAGACAAGATGATGCAAGTAGTCTAGAGGTGCGAAGTGAGAATGAAGAGCTAGATTCTCAACCTAAAATGCAAATCAGACACCCTGCTTGAGGAAGATGACATTTCATAAGATACCCACCTAATGAATACATTGTTGTTGCTAAAATTGTGAACCTCAAAGTTATGATGAATCAATGACGAGCTCTAAGAAGAATGAACACAAAAAGATAATGCAGGACGAAATGAAGTCCTTATGTGAAAATCAAACTTAAGAACTGACCAAGTTGCCAAAGGGGAGAGACAAGCTCTTAAAAATAAATGGGAATATAAGATTAAGCATGAAGAGAACAACCAAAGAACGAGATATAAAGCAAGAATAGTTTTCAAAGAATGCAATCAGAATAAAGCAATAGATTTTGAAGAAATATTCTCTCATGTTGTGAAAATGACTTTAGTCTAAATTGTGTTAGCCATAACAATTTCAATGGACCTTGAAGTTGAGCAAATGAATATAAAGATTGCATTCCTTTACGACAACCTGGAAGAAAAAATTTACATAGAGCAACCTGAAGGCTTCTAAGCTCTAGGAAATGAAGAATTGGTCTGTTGTTTGAAAAGCGCCTCTATGGCTTGAAGGAAACACCTTGGAGTGGTACAAGAAAATTGAATTCTTTATGAGTGAGTATAAGTTCATGAAGACGAAGGCCAACCACTGCATGTTCATTAAAAGGTATTAGGCAAGAGATTTTTTTATTTTACTTTTGTATATTGTTAATATGCTTATTGTAGGATGAGATAATACAAAGATAACCACCTTCAAGAAGGCGTTGAACACTTTCTTTGTGATGAGGAACCTTACCTTACAAAGTAAATTTAGTAAATTTTTGAAATTTAATCAGGTGAATTTTTTTTAATAAATTTATACTCTCACCAAAATATTTAAAAATAAAATAAAATTAATTAACTAAGAAATATTATAACATGGCCTATTAGAAGATGAGAAACGTGAAGGGAAGGTGAAAACGGCAGAGAACCAAAATTGTTTTAACCAAAATCTTATGTGACTTAAAGCAGTGTTGTTTTTATTTTTTTTTAGAAGAAAAAGCATGATGATTTAAATGATGGTGACGATAAGAGAATATATACTTGATATATACCTAATTTTTGTCTATGGAAAGATGAGAATATATATACACTTAAACTACGCATTAATTATAATAATAAATAGAATTAAATTAATGCATCCACTTTGTTTGTAACTGAAAAAAAAAAAATCCTTCTAGAAACTTTTACCATTAGACAATTCAAGAAAAATTATTTATTTTAATGTCAACTATGGCTAAGTTTCTTAATCTCCACTAAATCAAGAATGACTAATTTATTGCAATAATTGGTCCTTAATTTATATGATAAAATAAATAATTAATGAGATAGTAGGTTAGACATAAATAAAATAAACTATATGATTCCTTTTCTCCTGAAGACATGCAAACCCTTTTAAAAGTAAACTGTGATATCTTCTATCAAAAGAAGAAGAAGAAGACAAAAAAAATCTTCCATAATTTATTAGGCCAAATTGATATTTAATAACATCTTGGGATCCAACCACCTGCAATATTTTAAAACCATATACAACTAATCTTCCTTATGTCATTACGGGATAAATCACTGTCATTAATTAGTCCTCACCTCTAAGTACTCAGACCCTAATTAATCACTATAATCTCCACCTCTTATAGGGCCACACAAAGACATGGCCAATGAAACGACGGTGCGTTTTGGTATTCTGGGCTGTGCTCACATCTCCATCAAGCTCTGCAAAGCCATTAGCAAAGCACCAAACGCCACTCTCCAAGCCATAGGAAGCCGTTCCCTCGATAAGGCGGCGGCTTTCGCGGCGGAGAACAGCTTGCCTACTGCAGTTAGGGTTTATGGAAGCTATGAGGCTGTAATTGAAGATGATGAGGTGGACGCCGTGTACATCCCTCTTCCGACGGGCCTGCACGTGACATGGGCGGTTAAGGCCGCGGAGAGGGGAAAGCACGTGCTGCTGGAGAAGCCGGTGGCTATGAACGTGGCGGAGCTTGACCGGATTCTTGAGGCTTGCGAGGCTCGTGGGGTGCAGTTCATGGACGGCACCATGTGGGTGCACCACCCTCGAACGGCTAAAATGAAGGAGGCTTTGTCTGATGAACAACGTTTTGGTCAACTCAAATGGGTATGCATCAATCAATTATATATTATCGTTGTGTATTTTTTTTTTTTTTTTTTTTGTAATTAATAGTTTGAATGAAATTGCCCTAGATGCACTCATGCACGAGCATATGCCAACTTATTAAGACATAAATGTGTTTTAATTTAATCCAAGACCTCTTGATTTAGCGGCGATACCCTAAGATTTGATCTGTCCAAAAAAATAATAATAAATTTGATTAGAGCCTCAAACCTGAAACCACGTTAATCTGTTCGGAATTCGAACGAATGTTGTTTTTTACCCAGAAGAAAATCGCCATTTATTATTATTTTTAAAAGACAAGAGATAAATATTTTGAGTTTTTCTATCTGTTTCCTTTGTCTTTCTCTTAATTTAACAAATTAAATTCAATACTTTCTTTATCATTTTTAATTTCTTATTTAGTTTTTCATCTTTACAAATTCTAAAATTATTGTAAATTTTTATAAAATGTATATGTTTGCTTTTAGTCTAGTTATCCCTCGCCGAGCTAAATTGTGATGCTTACAACGAAGACGTAGATAGTCTAGTAAGGTGGCCTTATTTATTTATTCTTTAATATTTATTTACTGAGCAAAACTCAAAAAGGTGGAAATTTTCTTTTCCTGTCAAAAGTTTGCCTGTACTTTAATAGACATGGTAGTTTTGAGCTTTAGTAGATCGATAAGAATGTCGACTATTATTTTGTGTCCTAATTTTACACGTGACAACATTTTCATATTTTAAATAAGTTAGATATAACTAATGTAGCTTTTTCTAGGTAACTAAAGTTTTGCAACATTACAAATAAAACGACTATAAGATGTGAAAGGTTTGGTTTTCTATAAGTCAAGAAATTATCGGTCATTTTTATATTTGTAGATGAATAAATATGAAAAATATAAATAACCAATTCAATCCTCAAAATTAAGCTATTAGGTGAGAGCTTTTTTAATGATTTATATTATAAACTAACACATCCCTTCACACAAGAGCTCATTGGGCTTAAAGGGCGAGTGATGCATTAGGTTCAATTTACTTATGCTAAGAAATTCACAAGAGAAAATGGAAAGCGGTGAAAATTAAATCTGTGATACTGAGGCTTTGATATTATGTAAATAATTAATTTAACCCTAAAAATTAGATTTTTAGGTAAGAGTCTTTAAATGTTTATATTATACTCTAATAAAAACTTTGTCAGTTGTCACGTGTATTTTGGATTATACTTTGCATAAAAAACTATTATATATGTACAAAATAGCACGCACTCACAACTAATTAATGAGTATAGATTACTTGGTAACACAATTTGAGTATACCGGGAGAAATTATATGTAATTTTCATATAATTAGTACACCTATATATGTATGATATATGTAACAACAGATAATGGCCTCAAACCTCTTCAGCCTTTAGCATATTTTGTTTTTGTTGAATTACAATTTTATTTTGGTTGATTGTGATTATGTTACAATAACTTGTTATATATATCTGAGGAGAATGAAAAGGCATGTGAAAAATGCAGCTACTCTATTCCTCTAATTTCTCTCTTTCTCCTTTGTGTTCTTCTTCTCCTCTTCCCCTTCTTATATTATCTCTCCCTTGCTCCTCTCTCGTTTATCCCTTTTCTTCAGATCTTCTGAAATTACTGCTACATTAATATATGTGATTTATTTTTGTTTCATTTGAGTGTAATATGTAATTACGATTTTTTTTTTCTGAAGTATATGATAATGTTTGATTTTTCTTTCTGGCCAACGAATATATATGATCGTTCTACATGTTTATGGATGGCTCACTCTCCTGATCACTGGCATAATTGTCGCCGCTCATTTATATAATTGGCTTGATTTTTTAAATTTGCGTTCCATGATGAATATTTAACTCGATTATTGAATACATGCTTTTATTTTATTATATACAAAATCAACATGCGCCATATCTACCAGTACTCTGTTTTATCTGACCTAATAATACATTTTTGATACTTTGTATATCCAAAAAATAAAAATAACAGTTAGTTTGATATTTTGCAATTTTGAATCTCAGCATTTTTTATTTTATGTTAATAGTATTATCTGAGATAAAGTTATTTTTTACGTCGTTCTGTGATTTGGAAAAAATTATATATCGTTTTGATAAAATTCAAAGGAAATCAAATTTTTTAGAATATCTCATTTTTTTATTCAAATTCCAAAACGACGCAACAAAATATATATATATATTAACTAACTAGATGCTCTGAGTTCAACTCACAAATTAAACTAGCCTAGTTAAGTAGTGTCCATGCTCATCAATTAAAGGCCCTCCCGGGCTTTCTGTGACTAAGGACTGGATCTAGAACAAGCATTTGTGGGTAGTCACTAGTATAGCAGATTAGGGTCAGAATCGAACTTGGCCCGAAAAATGTTTGCCAACTCGTTCCACAAAGCCTTTCTTTTTAGTTGCACCCATTGGGCCATTAGCAACTTGGTGGAGGCCTAAGAGTTCATTGTCGTATATACCTATTTATTTTTCGTAGGTACTAGTATTAGAGATATAATAAAAGTATAAAATTGTTTCTCCACATTCATCTAACAACAAATACTTATTATTAAACAAATTCTAGAACAATTCTTGCCGTACATATTCTCCATTTGGCTATTGAACTGTATTCAGTTATCCTATATAATTTTTTTATAGGATTTTATATTTATTTTGAAAAAGATAAAAATTATTTTCTATACATACATAAAAGTATGTTAGTCACATTTTTTTCTCTCCTTTTTCTTCACATTACATCACATGAGTTTCATATATTTTTATGTGTATGGAAGAAATAATTTTATCTCTTATAATATGAGAAATATTATTTCCTTCTTTAGAAGTGCTAAACAATTCTTGCCGACTTATTTTTTGGGTTAAGTTAGGCACAATTAAATAAAAATAAAATAGCTCTTTAAGAGTCTCCCCGCCCCCCAGTAGAAAATACCCATATCCTTCCTTATCATTATTAATACTTTTATGTCTTACTCTCATTATTGTCCTTCCTCGTTAGGTTGAACCTTGTCTAGAAACTGTTGTTTAAATAAGGGCAACAATAGATTAAAGACAAATATTGTAGTAGCGTTAATCATAGAGACATTACTTAATCTAAACAAATTAAGGATACTTTTTACTTTTAAATAATTAATAACCAATTTGCCCCTCCCCCAGAACTATCCACCATCCTGCCCCCATTTAGTCGATTAGGTTGCACTTTTAATCGACTAAATGGGCTAAACTCAGAAATTATGAAACGCGAATTTTAGTCGACTAAAAACTCACCTTAATCGACTAAATTGTTTGCATCTTTAGTCGACTAAGCACATTATTTAGTCGACTAAAGATCGCGAAAAACCCTATATCCAGACCTCTCTTGGCCTCATTTTCAAAATATTCGAAATCAAAACTCCTCTCTTGGTCTCTTTCTCTTGTTTGTCAGCTGAGAACCTTCCAATCACCCTTCCATTTCATCCCACCACCTCTAAGGCATAGTAATTGTGAAATCATTGTCATTTTCCTTTATTTCTCAATTGTTTTCCCCAAATCTGAACCCTAACCCCTAAAATCTGATTCCTACCCCCAAAATTCGTGTGAAAGATGAGCTCAAGTCCAAACATGTATGTTACCATGATTTACTATGATGGAAAGCATTATGAAGGCCCCAACGGTGTTCAATTTGAAGGAAAATCGAAAATGTTGAAAATCAAACGGGGCACTACGTACAATGAGCTGAAGGGGAGGATTAACCAAAAATTGGGGCTACACGGCAGCCATGGCGTTCAACGGATGATCGCCAGGGTAGAGTCTACAGTTGGTAAGGATGCTATATTCTACATTGGTAATGATATATGTGACGATGAAGATGTGGACTGTGTCATAGATGCAATTGTGGACCGAAAATTTCAAAACTTTATTGAGATATATGTTGAAATAGAATGTGGTCAATCTTCATCTGCACCTGTGCATGGAAGAAGTCAAAGTCAAGAAGACAGAGTGGTCGGTTTATCTGCACCTGCACTTGTCTTAAGTCAGATACCACTGAGGGAAATAGACGAGGATGAGGATGGGCATGACGAGGATATGGACAGTGAAGACGATGGTGAACCCAAGAGTGTTATTCCGCTGGGTGACACCTCAGATACGGACGTAGAGGGGAATTTTGACGCTGATACTAGTTCAGGAAACTTGAGTTCCCAGGTTATGCCACCGCTCCGTGTTGACCCTGTTAGCAGTGGTAAGATTGTAAATTAAAGTTTTAATTTTGCAACATGCTGTTATGTTTGTGTTTTCTTTCGTACTGACGGATAAGTTTAAATTTGGACGTAGGGTCTGAGATTGAGCCATTTTGGAACGACAGCCCACACTATTCGTTCATTAATTAGGCTCACCCTAATGATGAGACGGAGATATTGTATGGCGGCGATGACATCCACGGTGGCTGGCATTTAGGAGATCCATTATATTTGTACCAGGAGTTTCGAACTAAATCTGAAATGCAACATGCTGTCAAATTATATTGTATGAAGTCTCATCGTACTGCTGTGGTGGCAAAAAGTGATGACCATAGATTTGTGATGAAGTGTCGACACCATAATGATTGCAAAAAAGGTTGAGGACTTCTTACAAAAGAATGATCAGTTAACTTTCAGTCTCTGTGTCCGTGTTTTTGATAGAGACTTGCAGTTGTTTGAAGTTGAGGATGCCTACAATCAATCTACGCATGATGCCGACGACATTATGAGGGTTGACTTGCTAAATCGTAAATGTCAATGTGGAGGGTTCACAGCTAGACGATTTCCTTGCAGTCATGTGCTAGTGGTGTGCAAGGTTGAAAAATTGAACCACTATGACTATGTCGATCTTGTGTTCTCAATTACACAAATTGAGAAGGTCTATGCTGCACGTTGGTTTCCAATGGGTAATGAGTTGTTGATCCCAGAAATAGATGGTCCAACATTAATCCCAAATGCATCTTTGGTTCGTGCACAAGGTAGACCGAAGTCTTCAAGGATACAGAATGAAATGGATTGGGTTGAGTCCCAACCCACAAGCAGTCAAACTAGATGCAGCACCTGCAAGCAAATTGGTCACAATAAACGTACATGTCCTATGAGGATTAATCCTAGCTGAACCAATGTTGTGCATGTATTTAAGGTCTTTTGTAAGAGTTCATGTAATTTTTGTAAGACATTGTGATGTTACTTTGTGTTACTGTATAACTCATTATGTAATTTGACATTTCATTTCTAAGTCCATTATCTAACATTGGTCCATATTGATAGATTGAAACTCATAACTAATACTAATATTACCAAAAAATGAAATCACCAAGTTTCGGGGAGCGTAAACAAACGGTTTGGAGTAATACGTACCCAATCGCATACGAATCATGTACAATACTATTTTGTACCTGAAAGTGTGTTCCCCAAGTCATTATATGCGTGTACATTGATATTCGATCGGTTCCGTGCCAAAAAAAAATCGTGCAAAACAGAATGGGGTGTCAAAACCAGTTATTTAGTCGAGCAACCTGCACTGGTTTAGTCGACTAAACTGTGTAGTCGACTAAACCAGTACAGGTTGCTCGACTAAATAACTGGTTTTGACACCCCATTCTGTTTTGCACACATTTTTTTGGCACGGAACCGATCGAATATCAATGTACACGCATATAATGACTTGGGGAACACACTTTCAGGTACAAAATAGTATTGTACAGGTTATAAACCACGAATGTACATGTATTGCATAAATGCTCCAAGTTAGGGTATCCGAAACTTGTGTTCTTCTTTTAACTCTGTTAAGGTCACCTGTTCTGAATTTCATTGGACATTTTAGACCCGTTGGACTGTGATTAGACACAAATTGAAAACAAGAAGGTAAAAGATATTTGTTCCTTCATTTGGTAAACAAGAAAACAACAATAATTACGTAAACGGTTCACAACATGATGGGAACATCAAATAGTTCATTTCATAACCATAATATTACATAAACTACAAATGTCAAATAGGAAGACCGAAGTCAATTACATAACAACATACACTAGAAACGTAAAATAGAAACATAAACCCTAAATCTAATCCTCATCCTCCTCAGACGCCGTCTCCTCGTCATCCTCATCTGACACATCAGCCCCCTGCCCTGCAACATCCTCAATCTGCTGTCCTCGTCCAAGCTCTAGACGAGCAAGCCTATCTTCAACACCCTTGAACCGTCCCTGTATATGTCTAAATCTTTCATTTCCCTTCTGCACGTGACTCTTCCTCCATTTTTTGTGTTTCAGCGCCATTTTTCCTATTTTCTTCAGCGTGGCGTTTATGCCCTTCATGACATCACGTAATGAAATCCCACCCTCAGGCTCAGCTATCTCCTGCTGGTCACCCTCATCATCATCGTCATCATCATCCTCCACCTCGGGGTCAACCATGTCTACAACTGGAGCAACATCAGGAACCTCAACATCAGCCGCACCTGTGAACTGCCACACTCCTGTTTGGGGGTTCTTTGTCATCTTGCACTGCTCCAGTAGACGTTTTCCAAACTTATGATTATACCCTGTGGTCTTCTTCAAGGTCACATTACCCATGGGAACATCAAAATGCTCCAATATCCTCTGAACAAGACAAGCAAATGGAAGTGCACCCTTGTGTTTGGCCTTATACATCATCCAACAGATGTAGTGCCTCCAGTTCACCGAAGTACCATGTCGGATAGCCCACATGATGGGAATGTCATGCTCCAACACCCTGGAATGATTGAATGCTCGCGGAAACAAAATGTGGGTGATGACATAGTGTAGTATGCGGGACTCCACAGTAAGCAACCCCACCGTATAGGCAATGTGTTGCCCACGGACTCTCCTCTGCTCCTGCACGGCATCACCGCGTGTATATCCTGGAAGTATGGTCCTGCTGTCTGCGTCATATTCCACAGTCTGCGCAGAATCAAAGTCATACCCAGTAACTCCAACCATACCGGAGCCGTCATGATGATGTCCACCCCGCAGACTCTAGACCTCAGCTCACCCTGATGGTAGCTGAGATTATGGTAGAAGGCTTGTACATGCAGCTCAGAATATGAACACGACAGTTCAGCCAAGGTCCTAAGATGTGATTCCTCCAATCACCTCACAATGTTAAAACCTTCTTGTTCAAAAAATGCTGTATCAAGTGATTTGGCCCCACAAATCGGTCGGTTAACAAAGTCACAGACAAAAGATTCATGAACCACCGGGTCATTCTCGAACAAGTATCCGAATGGGAGGTCGACAGCAGCGGGGTCTTCCTCTTGTGGCCTTGACGAAGACGGACGATCTTGTCGTAGCTTCTGTCGTCTCTCATTTCCAGTGCTAGACGATCTTCTACGGCCAGCCATGGGAACAACTGTACCTACAATGCAAGTGGAAACAAAAATCAATGAACAATAACAATATCAAAAAATTTAAAATTCAATATAAAAAACAAAACCTAATCCTAAAATAAAACAGAAATCAGAAACCCTATCCCTAACCCTAAAACAAAAACAGAAACCCTAACCCTAAACCCTAAAACAGAACACAAAAACCCATTCCTAACCCTAAACACTACAACCCAAACAAAACAGCAACGTAAACCCTAACCCTAAGCCTAAGGCACCACATCAACCCTAACCCTCACCCTCACAACAAACTTAACACCCTACCCCTAACCTAAATCCACAAAACCGCAAACAGAAATCAAATGCATGGAGAAAACCAAAAAAAAAAAACTAAACTTAAAACCAAATGCAAGTCAGAATACGTTACCTAAATGTCGATTTCGCAAGTGTGAACCAAGGAAGCTTCAATCGCACCTTCAAGGGTTGAGATTCGGACTTGGTTGGAGAGAGGGGACGGAATGCAGCGATTTAGTCGATTAGGGTTTCAAAATAACCCCCTTTGCGAAATGGGTTTTTTTTTAAAAAAACCTGATCTGCGATCTTTAGTCGACTAAATAATGCTCTTAGTCAACTAAAAGTGCAAACAATTTAGTCGATTAAGGTGAGTTTTTAGTCGACTAAAATTCGCGTTTCATAATTTCTGAGTTTAGCCCATTTAGTCGATTAAAACTTAAAAGTGCAACTTAATCGACTAAATGGGGGCAGGATGGTGGATAGTTCTGGGGGAGGGACAAATTGGTTATTAATTATTTAATTAGGGGCAAAAGGGTCAAAAAGCCCATATCCTTCCTTATCATTATTAATACTTTTATGTCTTACTCTGATTATTGTCCTTCCTCATTAGGTTGAACCTTGTCTAGAAACTGTTGTTTAAATAAGGGCAACAATAGATTAAAGACAAATATTGTAGTAGCGTTAATCATAGAGACATTACTTAATCTAAACAAATTAAGGATACTTTTTATTTTTAAACTAAGTTTTCCAGTTATTATAATATGGTACATAGATTTTCCTTAAATAAAAATGGTAGTTATTTTATTAATTTATATAATAATGTTGAATGTGTTACCGATATGTCTTTAAAGTTTATGTTTTTTTATTTGTGTTCTTCATCAGATACACAGTTGCATCACATACAACCCTGGCCCTGAGTTTCTGAAGAACAGCATTCGTGTGAAGCCAGATTTAGACGGTCTTGGTGCCCTTGGTGACATTGGTTGGTACTGCATCGGAGCTATATTGTGGACTGTGGACTATGAATTACCAAAATCAGTGCTTGCATTCCCAGGAGCCACTCTCAATGAAGCTGGTGTAATAATCTCATGTGGCTCCTCTTTGCACTGGGAAGATGGAAGATCTGCAACCTTTTACTGTTCTTTCTTAACCTACTTAACCTTTGATGTAACAGTTTTGGGCACAAAAGGGTGTGTTCGTCTCCATGACTTTACTCTTCCATTTGAAGAAACCTTTGGGTATGGCACTTTCTCAGAGGCCTCAGAGTTGGATTATGGAAAGATTGAACAAGGAAGGTGGTGTCCAAAACCAAATGAGCATGTTGTAGAAACAGAGTTTTCTCAAGATGTTTTGATGGTTAAGGAGTTTTCTGATTTGGTTGGAAAGGTGAAGTGCTATGAAATGAAGCCTGAGAAGGCATGGCAAGTGATGAGTAGAAAGACTCAGCTAGTGTTGGATGCAGTGAAGGAATCCATTGGGAAAGGTTACCAGCCTGTTGAAATCCTAACTTAGATGGAGTATATATTTTTGTACACATGTTTATTTATGTACAAAGATGAAAATTACGTCAAATGGCTTGCAAATTGCAACAAGTGGGTTTGGTTGTTGAAAGTTTATGTTAATTATATGATGAATTTCATGGCATTTAGGTTATTGTGGATTCCTGACATTGGTATTCGTTTGTGGGTAACATGATGTTGTATAATTGTTTCTGATATTGACAAAATAATAATGTGCAATGATACATGTGGTAACACTAAGGAGTTGGTTTAGTGATAGTGACGAACATAATATAACATGTAGTTAGGCACACTATTACAAGTTGAAATCTAAAGTTTATCAATGCTTCAGATAATGAATGTCAGAATTTCTTTTTCAAGAATGACAGAGCTTACTGTCTTCGACTCATTCTCCACAATCTAAGGCCTAATTCCAAGGCTCATGTAAATTAAACTTAAGAGCAATCAGAACTCTTGTTGCTTATCAATAGTAGAGTTTGTTACTACTATGCTGTGAAGAAAACCTACAAGCCACACCCACTCACATGGGAACAGAGTGGTTGAATGGGAGGGAACTTGATAGGTGATGGCCTAGTGTTGGAGAATTATCATATTCCAATTAACATCGCACTTATTTGTGAGTCACAATTGTCCACCGAAAGATCGAGCAAGAAGCATGCATAATGGGGGAAAAGAAATCAAAATGTGAAATATAGTCCTTTATATTGTTAATGTCAAATATGTCATTATGTTCATATATATATATATATATATATATATATATATATATATGAGGCAGGATCCTTTGACGCCGGCGTCAAATTTAAAATTTGATACCTTATCTAAGTGTGGTTAGATCAAAAAAGATCAATGGTGTCACATGCTTACAATTCAGAGCCGTTGATCTTTTTTGATTTAATAACTCTCAGATGAGATGTCAAAGGATCTTACCTCTCTCTCTCTCTCTCTCTATATATATATATATATATATATATATATATATATATATATATATATATATATACCGAATACTTCCTAGCATTGAGAATAAACTCATATAAAAAAAAAAAACTATTAAGTGTTTTCCATTGGTAATTATATTTCAAGGGATTTACCATAGGTATATAATTAAAACATGTATTTTACAGCTTGACCTTTACAAAGACTCAAACCCTGTTTCTTTTAAAATATTAATTTTATAGAAGATTTATATCTTTTTTCCCTTTAATTTTAAAATATGTTATGTTTAATTTGTTTCTACTGTCAAGGTCCAAAGGATGAAAACTTTCTTTTAGAGTGGTAAAACCAGGGTTTTATTAACTTTATCAGCAAATTATCAAAAGAGAGGCGTGAGATACAATATATTCCATGAAAAATTAAATTAAATCTTACCCGTAATTTTTAAGAAATTACAAATATTAATCACATTAATCATTTTTATAGATGAATATGTCCGGTACATAGGTATTAATATGACTAACATTTGACGAATTTAGAGTTTAATGAATAATTGTTGTGTAAATGTCTAGTTCCTATCATACTATTAATCGTTTTGAGATGAATAGCTTTTCATTTACCTTATAGATCTTGCAAGATATGTGGACCACCGAACCCCATGCCCATCCTATTCAAAATGAAGTTCACATGCCATTGCCCATCACATTTTCCTCCCTCCTTCTTAGCATATTTTTAACCAAACAAAACCACCGAAAGCATGTCATGTGCACTATAGAGACCACTAGATAAGTAAATATACTAGTTGATGCTTTCAAATGTGTTCTGAAAATAGATGTAAGCAACCAATTTAATTCAAAATTACTTGACCTTGTACTGAATTCACTCCACTAGAAAAAGAAAATAGTGAAAATTGAACTCGTAATTCCGTAATCCGATATCACGTAAAGCAACCATTTTACCTGTAAGCTTTGCAAGTAAATGACCTTCACTATATCTCTTTAACAACAGATCACATAATGATATAGTGAACATACAAAATATATGGGTTAAGCATATTTTCTGTGGCGAACGGTATTATATACATGGTCCTATGTTATGATGGTATGATATGGGATCTCAGGCTTTTTGGAGCACTATGAAAAGCGGGAAAGCAATTTGTCATAAAGAAGACATGGAACGGTAGACAGTACATTTAGAAAAGAGCATAACAGGGGACAAAAGGCCCCACACCACCCTGTCGTGGATTCACTCAACACAAATTCATTTAATTTTTTATACAAAGGATTTTATTTTTTTACAACAGAAAATATTTTGTCTGTCACGTTCATATAAAAATTAGTGATCTTGTTATAAAAAGAATAGAGAAATAATTTGACGGAGCTCACTTACTTTATTTGAGTGTGACAGATAAATTATTTCTGCAGCCAAAACAGAAATAATTTTTCCTTATACAAAAATTTCTCTATTAAGTCTATACAATAAACAATTTTATCCTACATTTGCATAATTGATTCTTATATACTAATTGTGCTATGATATAATGACACTAATGTTTTAAGTATCAAATTGTGGTTTCCTCATTTCAACACAAGTATCACCATTTATGTGTCATTATCAAATCATATGCTTAACATATTCATGTATATGGCCAATTAACAAATTAACCTCAAGCCATACACATGCATGGAGAAGGTAAAAGTCACCGTCATCCCCACACAAAGGCAAATGAAAGGTTCCTATATAATCTTTCTCTCACATAACCTCCATGATATGCATGGATGACCCAAAAACTGAAAAGTGGGCCCAACACTTCTTGAATTGGTCCCCTATCTGCTATACCCAATCAAGAAAGTTTTTGGATGAATTTAGCGCAGTTTGGCTATTTGGTCGGCAAGTAATTAAGGACACTTGCAAATTGGAATTTTGATTAATAAACCATACAATATAATGTATATGCTATGAAACAAGAGGACTAATTAGCACCTTGTAGATATACATATTATTCTATATAAACCTTGGTAAGTTAGGTGCAATATGTATATCATATCATATGAAGCAGAAGTATATGCAGCATAGCTACCTAAGAGGGATTTACATGAAGTGGCAGAGAGAGTGATGCAGCCAAGGATGACTTGCCGGCGTTAGCTCAAATTCATGCTTATCGGTCCATCGCCGCCGGCAAGTTGTCCTTGTCTACGTTGATCTCTCTTCTTCTCATGTAAATACCGCTGTAGGGCTCATTTATTGGATCAGGAATCCCTTCTCTTGCGTTCAGATGTCTCATAAGGTGCAGTTCTACAAATTATTTCTGTTGTACGTGACCAAAACTTTAGCTTGTATGAGAGTTTGAATATGTTAAATGTCTCTTTCTTTCGGTCAAGTTCTTCTTGAAGTTGAACTCAGCAGGTTTTTATTTTTTTATTTTTTTGGTGGGCAGCAGGTTTTTTATTTTATTATATACAAAGAGGTGAATTTACACCAATATATGAAAAAAATTTGATACATAATATATGAAATTTTTACATTCGTTATTTACCGCCGATTCTATTTATATTAATGATTTATATGGATTTCATCCTAATTAATTTGAATCATAAAAATCAATTGTTAATAATGAGTGTAAAATTTTTTATTTTTATATATATTAATATTTGATGCATGCTCGTATACATCTATATATATTTTGAAGGATAGATAGTGTAAGTATGAATAATTTAGGCGGAATTGGCGTGCACATCAAGATTACTTGCCCACATATTGCCAAATATTGGAGAATTGAGAGAAAAGATTGAAATTTTGAACATGTAAGTCTACACATGTATACATCATCATATTATAATTGTCCTATTTTCTTTGACTAACTGAAACGTTAAAACCCAAAGAAACTACATTTTGATGCGAACTGACCTGAGTGAATTAGTGAACAAAATTATATTTGATGTATATATGGTTTTGAAAGTGTAATATATATATATATATATATATATATATATATATATATATATAGGTAGGATCCTTTATACCGGTGTCAAATTTTAATTTTGACACCTCATCTCAGAACCGTTTGATAAAAAAAAAAAATCAATGGTGTCACATGCTTGCAAATCAGAGTCATTGATTTTTTTTTATCAAACAGTTCTGAGATGAGGTGTCAAAATGGAAATGTGACACCGGTATCAAAGTATCCTACCTCTCTATATATAAATATATATATATATATATATATATATATATATACATATATATAAAGAGAGAGAGGGGTAGGATCTTTTGACACCGGTGTCAAATTTACCTCATTTGAGAGCCGTTAGATAAAAAAAGATCAATGACGTCACATGCTTACAAAACAGAGTCGTTGATTATTTTGATCTAATGGATCTCAAATTTACCTCTAATGGCTCTCAAAAAATATCAACGACTCTAATTTGAAAGCATGCCATACCATTGATCTTTTTTGATCTAACGGCTCTCAGATGAGGTGTCAAAGGATCCTATCTCATATATATATATATGGCAAAAGTATTTCTACAACAACTTTAGATAAGCTTATCTACAGCTGCCATTTTTAACTATATTCTCCCGGGAGAATATAGTTATAACGTTAAAGTTGCTCTTTTTTCTGTCTCCTTATTTACTTTTCAGAACTTTTTTGCTGACGTGGAGAGAGAGAAAAGAGCAACTTTAACGTTATAACTATATTCTCCCGGGAGAATATAGTTAAAAATGACAGCTGTAGATAAGCTTATCTAAAGTTGCTGTAGAAATGTTTACCTATATATATATACATATGGAAAAATATTTCTGCAGCCACTTTAGATAAGGTTGTCTACAGCTACCATTTTTCACTAAGTACGACCGGTCGTACATTAAAATTGTATTTTCTCTCTCTGCCACGTCAGCCGACAATGTCTGAGAAAAAAGAAAAAAAGAACTGCTTTATTGTTGTAACTAAGTACGACCGGTCGTACTTAGTGAAAAAGGGTAGCTATAGACAACCTTGTCTAAAGTGGCTGTAGAAATACTTTTTCCATATATATATATATACTACTAGAAAAA